GCTGAGCTTGTCGACTTTGCTGCTCACTGTCGTCTAGACTACACTGCTAGTCTTGTTGCTGAGTCTGAGTCTGTCTGTCCTCCGTCCGTCGGGGGTGAGTGTGCTCTTAGCACGGACGTCCTTGAGGACAGGCAGGAGGAGTTCCAATGTCTTGCTGCTCCTTTGCCTCATCTCGTGTCCATGCTGATGGCCCCTGAGGGAGACCCGGATGCACCAGAAATCCCGACTCCGCGCTCTTACGCAGAGGCGATAGAGGGTCCCTATTCCTCCTAGTAGCAGTCAGCCATGGACGCAGAGATGGCTTCCTGGAAGTCCACCGGCACCTACGTCGACGAGGTTCCCCCACCTGGGGCGAACATCGTCAGTGGCATGTGGATTTTCAGGGTGAAGCGACCGCTGAGTTCTCCGCCTGTCTTCAAGGCGCGTTACGTGGCTCGAGGCTTCAGTCAACGGCAAGGAGTTGACTACTTTCAGACCCTCTCTCCCACCCCGAAGATGACCACTCATCGGGTGCTGCTGCACATAGCCGCGCAGCGCGACTACGAGCTTCACTCTCTTGACTTCAACACAGCTTTCTTGCAGGGCAGCCTGCACGAGGAGATCTGGCTGCGCCGCCCACCTGGCTTCATTGGGTCGTTTCCTATTGGTACTCAGTGGAGCCTACGGCGGCCAGTCTACAGTCTTCGCCAGGCGCCCCGTGAATGGCACGACACACTGAGGACTACACTTGCGGCTCTTGGCTTTGCTCCTTCTATTGCCGACCCATCGCTGTTTTTGCGCACCGACACCTCTTAGCCGCCGTTCTACATCCTCGTGTACGTCAACGACTTGATCTTTGCCACTGCTGACATTGCTGGACTCGCCTACGTGAAGTCCGAGCTGCAGAAGAGACACACGTGCACAGACCTGGGTGAACTGCGCAGCTACCTTGGCTTGCAGATCACCCGGGACAGAGCACAGTGCACCATTACCCTGACTCAGTCACACATGGTGCAGCAGCTCCTTCAGCGCTTCGACTTCACGTACTCCTCGCCTCAGGCCACTCCTCTGTCTACTCGCCACTCGCTCTCAGCTCTGCCTTCGGATGAGTCCGTAGAGCCGAGTGGCCCGCACCCAGAGCTTGTCGGCTGCCTCATGTACCTGATGACCTGCACTCGACCTGACCTTGCATACCTTCTTAGCATCTTGGCACGCTATGTTGCTCCTGGGAGACACCGACCAGAGCACATGGCTGCAGCGAAGAGGGTGTTGCATTACTTGTGCAGTACGTCGGGCATGGGGCTAGTGCTTGGAGGGCGGCGTTCAATGGCCCTCACAGGTGACGCAGACGCTTCTTGGGCTGACGACCAGGCTACGCAGCGGTCGTCACAGGGTTACACCTTCAGCCTTGGTTCCGGCTCCGTTTCGTGGCGGTCTACCCGCTCGTCTTCTGTTCTCGGCTTCAGCTGTGAGGCTGAGATCTATGCGGGGGCCATGGCTGCACAGGAGCTACGCTGGCTCACCTACCTCCTGACTGACCTAGGAGAGCCGCCTCGTTCTCCTCCAGTTCTGTACGTACACAACAAGGCCATGCTGGCCTTGTGTCGGGAGCACGGACTGGAGCACATAACGAAGCACATTGCTCTTCGCTACTTCCTTGCTCGTGAGCTGCAGCAGCGTGGTCAGCTGTGCCTTGCTTACGTGGCCTCTTAGGCCAATACGACTGATATCTTTACCAAGGCACTTCCGCCTTGTGATCATCAGCGCTGCTGTACGATGCTAGGTCTTGTGCCTACTCGGCCTCACTTGCTGACTTCTTGACCTTGCTTGTACTGTGATCTTTCTATACATGCCCTTGCTTGTTTACCTTTGCATATGATCTTGCATGTGAACTGGCCTTGTGGCCTTGAACTTGTGCTCGGAATGTGTGGTGACGTTGTGATCCACCCTGAGCTTGCTTTGCTTTGCTTGACTGGTCTTGTGACCTCTTGTTCTCCCCCACTTTGTGTATGGGGGTGTTTCAAACTTATATGCTATAGTCTGTGTAGACTGTAGTGGGGTAGACAATATGGGGTACAACACTTTTAGGTTTTCCTACTTGTACCCACCTGTTTCCTAGTGCATTCATTCCTCATTCTTTCACAAGCCCAAGTCAATCCCACGCACGAAAATGACGAAACGAAGGACTCCGAAGTTCCGACCGCTCGCCGACTTCGCCAACAAACCGACGAAATTACAGCCCCGTAACCAAGCTCGCCGTCCAATCCCGTATCGCAATAATTCTCTGAATTTCACGGCAGGTTCATTTCAAAGGGTTGGGTTACCATTGAGAAATTCAGAGAGAGAGTCACGACTTGGGAGTGCGACTCGATGTTTGAATGTGCTCTATAAAATTGTACTGTCAAATTTGTGAAGTCATAGTGAAATTTCCAGAGAATTCCAGAGAGCACTTCATCCCCGTTCTCCTAGCCTACTAAGGCTGCTACTTCCCTGCCAGCAACGTTTCACACGTGCTGTCGGCCTAAGAATAACTTGTAGTGGGTAAACGGTTTCGTTCGTTAGCCGTGTCTGGCCGGCCCGAAGTTACAGGAACGTAAAACTGGGGCCGAGAATAAGTCCCCAAACAGAGGCGCTTCGGAATCGGGATGTGAAAATTTGACGGCGACTCGGCCTAAGCCGGCGATTTGAAGAATCGCAGATTGTGCCGGCGAAATTTTAGATAACGCAGATCGCGTCACGATAGTGTCGCGATGTGGGAAGAGAATTGCTCTGAACCAACCATTCCCGCCTTTTGTCAGAGAATGTCCAGCTTGAAACTCAACTCGCTAAAAGAATGTCCAGAGAACGTCTAGCTGTACAGCTAGCTACCTTGGAGCTTGATGGACATTCTCTGGACATTCTTAAGTAGCGAGTTGAGTTATATTAGTGTTTCGGGTCTTTACCCGGGTTTTTTTTTCAACCTCATTATTATTATTTCATTGCATCCCTACATGACATAGATCTGATTCCTTTAAGTTTGTTTTGTAAATAATGCAATTATCAATCTTGCGTTTTTTATTGTGGTTTACTGATGTGCACTATTTCCAAACATCTACAGTGTCGCACTGCTATTTCTGTTTGCAGTGGATTTTGCGCCTCTGTACGCGTTTGGAGTTTTAATCACTGTCAGCAATGTTCGAACACGCTGACTCAGCCTGGAAAGATCCATCTGACAATGTTGAAATTGCGGGAAGTTACTTTGTTCCCTCCAATTTCAACCCCACAGAAAAACGACAAGGACGCGCCCCGGCTCCTCCCAGTTGGAATAATTGTGGGTTGGGCTGGGTGTAACTCAACTCAGGCTCTGTTCGGCAGCACTTTGGTTGCCAAGCACATCTGACCAACAACTCAACGAACCTGAACGACAAGACAGCCTCGGACCGAAGCTCGGCCAACTAAAAAACAAAACCAACGTTGTTTTTTGTTCTACCCATTCAGCTGTGCAACCAGACACGCAAACGCGGGCCTGCTCTTGCATGTTGCCCGCAAAAGTCAACAACCATGACAGCACATTTCTAACCTAACAAACACAACCACCTGTACCTTGCTTCGAGGAACCTGGGTCAAAGTATCCTGGAAAGCGCACAAATCGTGATCTAGCCAATCAGCTGTCTGCATAAAGCTCACAGTGAACTAAACCCGTCCCCCCCACCCACGTTGAAAGCAGGATCAGGACCCAACCAAAAACCAACAGCAATGAACATCATTTTGCCCGTGAAGTACTGTGCACTTTTTGCTGGTTGGCTCTGCTGGGCTGTCATGGAACCAACAACAAACCTAAAACAAATACGAAACTGGTTAGGAAAGACGTTCGGACCTGCGACCAAACGTAGGGGATTTTTACACGTCACCATGAGTCAGCAGAACTGCCGAGCCTCAATACTGGTTGGCTGGTTCTGTTTATGTTGGTAATTGTTTGGTTGTGACCGTATTTTCTCGCAGCCGAACAGGGCTTCAGCCCAATTCGATCGTGTGTGGCTTCACATCACACGCCCAGAATACACCAACAAGACACTTCACCAATCAGGCAGCAGCAAACGCCAGATCACGATTCTAAAACAAGGCCACGCCACGGCAGATTTTCCTCATGTCAGTAGTGGTAGTATGGAGGTTCCACGAGGTTCCACGCAGTCGCCTTAGGTCAACTCGTAGAAGACAACTGCCGCTGTAGCTGACTCAAGTACCGCTTCTGCGTTCTAAAGTCGAGTATTCCGCGTTCTAAAGTCGAGCATTCCGCGTTCTAAAGTCGAGTATTCCGCGTTCTAAAGTCGAGTATTCCGCTTGAAATCGGGGGTGTCCGCGCGGACCGCGTGTTTCCGCTTGAGCATCAGATTATTGTTGTCAATTTATTGCACCGTGTTGGCACGGCGCATTTGACGGGGAAAATAATCAAACCGAGGTACGGCGTTGCGGTGCTCCCTTGTCCATCAACTGATACCACACGATACGAATAATTGTCGTGCTACGATGATACGAATGAACCTCCGCCACGGCGCACGGCGCACGGGAAGGGAGATGCGCGCAGATGGCAGGCGCACAGCCCGCAGAGGGCCTGCGCAGACGGAAAGACTTTTGAGTTGACTTAAAAGGGAGATGCGCGCAGATGGCAGGCGCGCACAGCCCGGAGGGCCTCTGCAGGCGGAAACTGGCAGGGGAGCACGGGACGGGAGGAGGCGGGAGATAACTGCGCCGCGCAGCGCTGGGTTCCGGTCACGGCCGTAACCCGTGCTGCTGCTCCTTTACTACTTAACCTGCCGACGAGCGAGCAGAGCAGCAACTATCCTTTTCCATTTGAGTCAAACGTTGAACGCCCCTCAAGACCCAGCGTGGCAGACTACCACGGCGTTTCTCCTCAGTGACCACCTTTTACTATACTACTTCCTGTTGGCCAAGAGGGGTTGACCTTTTCCCTCAGTACCCCCAGCACCGCCGCTCGCGGTGGCACGGCACATTTGACTTCTCAGCACCGCCGACGCTCGGTCATGGCTCCCCGCGCTACTCTGCCATCGTGGGCCGCCGCCGCCGCCGCTCACCCCGGCGCGACTCCGGCGCGCTTCGTCTTCCTCGTGGCCTGCGCCGCGCTCCTGCTCCTTGCAACCGGCGCCACGCTTCCGGCGCTCGCCACCGCGAACCCCGCGGATACCATGGTGGTTGCGAGTCGACGGGCTCTGCAAGCCGCACCCGGGTCGGATGCCGCACCAGGATCGGAGTCCGCGCCCGGTTCAACACCCGCGCAGCCCGCGCCTGGTTCAACACCCGCGCAGCCCGCGCCCGGCTCAACGCCCGCAGTGCCCGCGCCCGGTTCAACGCCCGCGCCCGGCTCAACGCCCGCGCCCGGCTCAACGCCCGCACAGCCCGCGCCCGGCTCAACGCCCGCGCAGCCCGCGCCCGGCTCATCGCCCGCGCCCGGATCGAAGCCCGCGCCCGGCGGTTCAAACACCCCACCCGACTCGGACACGTATTACGATGACGACTACATGCAGGATTATACGCTGGAAGAAGTCATTGCTGCCGCCTCGCCGTCCGGCGCGCCGCCCGCCGGCCCTCTCAAGGCGATGAAACTCGCAAGCACCATAAAGTTCGCGGACGTATCCAAGTCGTTCGACGTGCTGTATTACCTCGCGAACGCCGCGTGCAAGTTCCCGAACGGGAAGACCATCTTTCTGCCGACGAATCAGGCGTGGGCCGACGCGCTCGCCGGGTACAAGAAGTCGCGCAGCAGCGGCGCGCTGTACGAGGCGTTGGACGCGGTGGCGAGCGGTAACAAGGTGAAGGAGTCGCTGGATCGCGCGAAGCGAACGACCACGACGAAGGACCTCGCGACGCTCGCCGCCAAGGCGAAGGCGTGCAACGCGAAGACGACCAAGCCGCCGCCGATGTCGGAAGCCGCGCGGACTGCTCTGCTGAACCTCATGTCGTTCCACACCGCCGAACCGAAGGTTACCGTTGTGAACCTCGATGGCCAGGTACGGTACGCCGCGCCGCGGCTTGTGCAACGTCCCGCTTTCTTGCTGCGGGTTCGATTGGATTGGATTGGATTGGATTCGGTTGTTGTGCTGTGCTGTGCGTCTATCATTACCTTTCCAGGTGTTCCCCAAACGTACATGCTGTTATTGCTGATTGCTGCTGCTTCTGATACTACTACTACAAGTTTGCTCTTCACCACTTGTAGTACCAGCAGCTTTGGTCGTCTCATTGTGTTCCTCCTCTGCTTCCTCCTCGCCCTCTCCCAAACGTGTACCGCTGACGTGGCAGTGTACCCCCACTGGCTACGCCATCAAGACCGCGTTCAACGGAAACAATTTGAACTTCAAGTGCGACAGTAGCAACACGGGAAAGATTTCCGGCGCCGACCCACTCGCGTCCGGGGCTGCTGCGGGTACCTCGTCTGCTGTCGCAGCTATCCAGGAGGCCCAGAAGGATTATTTCTATGTCAACGCACTTGTTTTCCCGAGCAATATCGGCTCCCTGCCTGGTACGCAGCATGGATCAACTCGTTACTCGTTTGTTGTTCTCCTTTCTTTGCTGTACCTTTCCTGGCCGTGCAACCCACCGTAGCCAACTCAATGTGTCTACGCCGGCACATTCTGCATCACGCACCTTGTCACACCATGCATCATGTGATAATGCTATCGTTTCGTTTCTCTTTTTTGCCATAAGCCTGAATTCACAGATCTACCCCCCCTGCTTCCTCGCCATATTCGCTTACCCTCCTTCCTCTCCTTGCTCCCATTTCTCCTCCCGCTCTCCGTTTACAGGGGCTGTTGCAACTGTCTCTCGTCTCCTCACCACCCTGCTGGTCCTCGGCGCAGCTCTTGCCTGCGCTCTCTAAACCCACCATGCATCGGAAGACCCCTTGTTGCATTGATTTGCAATAGATGGAGGTTGGGGTGTAGAAGGGAGTGTAGGTTTTGTTCTGGAACCAGCATGCGATCTAGAAGGGTTGCCATAGCTGCACCTTCCAGCTTTTGATTGGCAGTAGATGTGTGTTTTAGGGCAGGGAAAAGGGGGTTGGGGTTATGCAGGCTTCTGTAAGAGGCTTTAGTTCATGTCCTTGTTATGCATTTTCCCTAGTGAATTCTCCCTACCATATGCACTGTTCTCAAGCTTATGAATCATCAGAACCTGAAAACAGAATGGCTGGATCAGGGCTGTTTTTCTTCTGCTTCGTCCAGTTATAGGATGACCACTTCTGCATCCAGTTGAGATGTTTTCGCTTTGCGTGCGATGATAAGAGGAGATGAAAGAACGAAATTGCGGTACCGTAGATTCCACAACTTCCACTTCCAGGGTACATGCCATACACACTGAAAAAACAAAAGCAAATGAACAATGGATTGGAAGATTTATTGGGATGCAACGCAATGCAATCTCTAGCCACAGCGGTCCCACCTGCCGTGCATCCTTGTCTATCATTCCAACTTTCAAAGGTCTCTCTACCTCCGGAGAAGGTTATCGTGTCCAAGTGTAATTAGCAGTCTTCACAGCAACCTCAGCAGATTCAGCAACAGCTTCAGCAGCGTTCATCTTGGACTTCATCGCAGCAACAAGTTTTGAGGCGCCTAAAACTCGGCGAATGCAAGTTACCACGTCCAAGAGTAACCAGCAGTCTTCGCAGCAGACTCAGCGGATTCCGCAACAGCCACTGCAGCGTCCATCCTGCTCTTCATCGCAGCAGCAGCATTATCCGCGCTCGCCTTCGCCGCCAGAGCCTTGCTCTGCGCAATCTTCGCGTTCGTCACCGCCGCTGATCGCGCCGGAACCGACGCCTGGGCGTCGCTCACGTCGCTCGTCGCCTGCGCCCCCGCCGCCGCCGCGTCGTTGTCCGACCTCACCACCGCGTCCAGCGCCGCCTGCGCGGCGGCGACCGCCGATTTGTCCACCAACGTCGCGCTGGGGCTGTTCGCCGCGTCCTGGAGCTTCGTCAGCGCCTGCTGCGCGCTCTTCGCCTGTGCGACCATGTCGTCCAGAATCTGCTTCGCGAGCGTCGCCATTGCAGTCTTATCGTTCATTGCAGCCTGAGCAACACTGGCCTCCGCGGCTGTCATGTTAGGATTAGCGGCACTCTTTGTCGTCAATTTCGTGACGGCCGAGTTAACGCTAAGAAGGGCTTCCTTCTGCCGGTCGACCTGCTGCGCCGTCATGTCCGCACGCTGCTTCGCATTTGCAACCGCGGATGCGAGATCGGCAGGATCCGCTCCCGACGCCGTGCTCGTAGCAAGGCCGGCCTTTGCGGCGTCGAGGCTTTCCTGCAGGCCGGGAATCACGGAGGCGGTTTTGTCCTTGGCCGCGAGTTTGTGCGCGAGGGTGTTTTTGAGACGGTTCACGAGCTGTAGCGCGTCGTTGTACGTGGCGGCGACGTCCGCGAGGGCTTTGTCGGCGGCGTTGAGATCCTGAGCGCGCTGCGCGACGAGCGCGTTGGCTTTCTCGAAGTCGTTGGTGGCGCTGACGGCGGCTGCGCGGGTCAGACGGGCCTTGGTGACTAGGTATGGCTCGGTCTGTCCCGAGGCGCTGAGGACGCTAGCGGCGGTTACGAGGAGCACGAGGAGGGAAACCTTGGGGAGTGCCATGTTTGATGTCAGCTGGAGAGGAATGAGACAAATAAGGGATTTCAGTAAATCGGGGCTGCAGTGGCAAATGTGAGTGTAATGCTTCGGCTGTTCTGGTTGTGATTCCTGAAGGCGAGTGCGTTTTTGAAGCATCATTGTGGGTGGTTGAGGGAAGAATTCCATGCCTTGCTCTACCCTCACATGCGTCTCCGATCTGATGGTGCTCGCAAGTCGCCTGTGGTAAGGGACATTGCGACGCGATGTGATCCACTGGCGCGACGCGGTGGAGGGAAACCTCAATCACCAGCGTAGTATCCACTTGACCTACCAGATGGCGGCGAAACTAGACGAAATGAAAGCTCTTTTGCGAAACAAATGAAGTTACTCAAACGGAAGTTCGCTTTCGTACAGCTCTTGCCAACATGGGACTTTGTGGCATATTGCAGGGACCAATGTTTGTCATGGAGGTGGCTCCTGTCATAGAAGTCACCCACTCGACAAATGAGGCTTGTCGCAACACCCCCCCACCACCCACACAATGCTGGTTGTCAACCGCGAAAAGGCTGTGGCGAAAAAAGTTGTGAATTAATTCGCGCACAAATGGACCTTTCTGCTCGCAATGCATCACTTCGAGTTTTCCTGTTTGCATATATGTACTTGAAACATGGAACTCATTTTCCTTACTTCACGCCTTCATGTCAACACTCATCATCCATCTTTAGACCGTTGGCCTTGTTACTGTTAACATGAATGGAGTGTTGGCCCCGCCCTCGCTTGGGCAACGCCGACGACTTGGTCGGATGCACGGGAGTAGTAGCCGACCGTTCACAGTGGGATAGCTGCTTGACAGGTTACGTCGAGCTGCAGCGGACCGCTGTGGTGTTGCTGTCGACCAAGGAGCTCGACAGCTGCAACTGACTGGTCTGTGCGACGGGTGGGTCGTCCGGGAGGTCGACGAAGCAGTCCGTCGACCTACAGTTCGACCGGGAGGTCGACAGAGCAGTTCTGGTCGACGGAAGGGGCCCGTCGACTAGGGGGTAGCTCGACGGGAGTTGTGGTCGACCAGAGGGGCCCAGTGGTCGACCGGAGGCACCTGGGGGTCGACCAGAGCACCAAGGGTCGACCAGGTCGACCGGGTAAACTGCTCGACGAGTTCTGCGAAGGCTCGCGAAGGTCGTCGAGATCGCGATGGCGCAGGCGACTTCGGACTGGTATCCCGAAGTCGATGTGGCTCGTCAGGAGCAGACAACAGCCGACGGATGCCCAACGAGACAATTCTGGCCAATCGTCTGCGCACACCTGCGAGCGCGCGCACTGCTGTGTTCTACGGGGCACGCCGTCGACCTGCTTTGTTGGCAGGTCGCCCTTCTGCAGTGCTGGCTCGGCTCCTCTACGCAATGCTGGCAGGCGGTCGACCGAGCTGCGCTGGCGGTCGACGAGACTAGCTGCAGGGTTGCTAGGTGCCTGATGTAGTCATTGTTGTGATTGCTTCTTCAATGATTATGGAATTCCAACTTTGCTAGTGAAAACTCTTGCCAATTTCTCCCGTGAATGTGCAAGCACTAAGGAACCAAGCAAAGCTACGATCACCTCTAGTAGTTCGTGCCAACCCCGTAGTCTAGCTCACTACCGTTGTAGGATTGATCTCCGCATGGTGCGGTGAGCGTGGAACGAACACGCGACCTTCAGATAGGAGCCGACTTTTGCACCTACTAAGTCGTTCGTAGGCCGGCAGCAGCGATAGTCGCCATGGTCGACCCCGTAGTTGATGCGGGTGTAGCGGACACTTTGGAGGCACGTTTGGCTGACGCAAGGAGACACCACGCGGATGGCGAGTACGGGACGATCCCCTTAGTGATCGCCGAGCTGGGCATCCGGTCGCAGTGGGCGACGGAACACCCTTCCCGTCCTGCTTCTCCTCGACCGATGCGCAACGAAGGTGGCGTCGACGACGAGGTCGACGGTGGTGCACGAGTCAGCGGCAGCGAAGGCATGAGGCAGAGAGGAGTGATCAAGGTAGATGGTGGTGTTGACGGAATCCAGGCGCGAGTGCAGCGGTCGACGGCGGCTGCAGGCAGCTCGCACGCCGACGTCGATGTTCGACGTCGCTCTCCCCTACGAAGTGGTGGCGGGCTCTCGGTGACGACGCATGTGACGGCGGGCGGGATTGCACCGGCGTATGGCTACTTCAAGTTCTCGCCGGACCGAATCATCGTCGCTCCGCTGCAAGGTCGACGGGACCTCATCACATGGAGGGAGTCGATCGAACCTCAGCTGGAGGTCGCCTAGCTGAAGGGCTTCACCGACGGCACCGTGCCAATTCCACCCGAGGAGGATGTCGGGTTGCGCGGGGAGTTTCGTTCTGCTCACCTGCTCACCTTCATGGTCATCTCGAGGTGCTGCTCGCCGGTGGTGCAGGTGGCACTCAGGAGCTGTCGAGAGCGACTGGATGCTGGTCACCAGGCATGGCGCTTCATCATGTCGACGTACCAGGTCAGGGACGACCTGTACATCGGACAGCTAGAGGAGAAGATGACTCACATTCGAATGGGCGAGCAGGAGTCGGCGACGGACTACTGCAATCGAGCTCGACGGATCCTAGCTGAGATGAGGATGGCGGGCGCCGAATACTCGACGGCGTCCTACATTACCCACGTCCTCAAGGGCCTGCCGCGCAGCTACAACCTCATGAAGAGGTTTACGATGGTGCCCGGCACACGTGATTCCCTCGACGAGGACTCCCTTACGAGCTACATCCTCCAGGATGAGGCGATGTAGGAGGCAGAGCAGCCCACAGAGTTCCTTCCGCAGACGAGTTACGCTGCACCGACGAAGCCGAATTATCAGCAGGAGCAGCGCGGGAAGCCAGGCGAAGGTGGTAGCGGAGGTGGGCGGTCGACGAAGGACGTCGACGAGAAGAGGTCGACGCGGGACAAGGGTCGACGAGGTGGTGGTCGACGTCGGGAGTGCTGGATCTGCGGCGACCCCGACCATCTCTCCTACGAGTGCCCCGACCGCGATGAGAGTGACGAGGACGACAACAAGGGAGGCCGCGGACGATCGGTCAGTCGTCGCCCCCGTCGAGTTGAGAAGCCGCGCAAGGAGAAGCAAGCGTCGAAGAAGACGTCGTCGACAGCTTTAGCGGCAAGAGCCGAGGCGACGGGGAGGCGTCGTGCTCGATGGTCGGTGTGGTGGAGCTGACGGTCTCGCTGGCGCCGGAGGCCGGTGAGGACTTCCAGGCAGTGGCGGCAGCTGTGCAGGCCAACCCGATGGCGGTGCTGCTCGACAGCGGGTGCTCCCACCACCTGATGGGGACGAAGTCGGTCTTCGTCGACATGGGGCCGAGTGACGGGGTGAAGCACGTGCGTGGGTTCAACGGGGCATTGCAGCCTGTCGAGGGTCGCGGAACCGTCGCTCTGCAAGGGGAGGCCGAGAAGCGGGTCCTCATCCCCGACGTACTCTACGTTCCCGACGTACTCTACGTTCCGGGCGTACAGGCAAACCTGTTGTCTGCTGGCCAGCTGAAGGAGAGCGGAGTGCTGCTGCAGGGCGATGGTGATGAGATGCTGCTCGTCGCCGCGACTGGGGAGGTGCTCAGTCGAGCACGCTACACCGGACGAGTCCTCTGCACCGACCTTCGCCCCTGCTCGACGCCGTCGCAGTCGACCAAGGTGGTGGCCCTGCGAACTATCGTCTCGATGACGAAGACGACCCCCGATAGGATGCATGCGCGGCTTGCACACTTCAGCGTCGACACGATCAAGAGCTCGGCGAAGCATGATGTTGCTATTGGGCTCAACATCAAGTCGTCAACCGGAGCATACCCGCCATGTGTCTCGTGCGTCGGAGGAAAGCTGGCGCGGCACACCTTCCCCGCCAAGGGCTCGGATGCAGCGGAGGCGCTGGCTGTCGTGCACATTGACTTGTGCGGGCCATTCCGGGTGGCTGCCAAGGATGGCAGCTTGTACTTCCTACTGCTGAAGGATCGCCATACTCGATTCGTGTGGGCAATGCCAGTCGCTAAGAAGAGCGATGTGCTGCGGGAGTTCGAGAAGTGGCTGGTGCTTGTGGAACGATAGACAAAGAAGTCGGTCCTGTCGCTTCGCTCCGATCGAGGAGGGGAATTCCTCGGGAAGTCGTTCACCGACTTCGTCGACGGAAAGGGCATCCTCCACGACCTGACGTGCCCCTACACTCCGCAGCAGAATGGCATGGCTGAGCGGGAGATGCGCACGGTCGTCGAGTCTGTGCGGACGATGATGCAGCACATGGGCGTGCAGCATCACTGGTGGCACCTTGCTCTACGACAAGCGGTCTGGGTGTGCAACTGCTTGGAGCGGTCGACGACGCCGCCGGGAACGAATCCGTACCAGCTGCTGACCGGGCAGAGGCCCGACCTTACGCTAGCGCGGGTGTGGGGCTGCATGGTGCAGTTCATGGTTCCTGAGCAGCAGCGCGGTGGGAAGCTGGCGCCGAAGGCTCGTTGGGGGCTTCACCTGGGTGTGTCGCCGGAGAGCAAGGGCTGGGAGGTGCTCGACCTGACCAACAACAAGGTGGTCACGTCGGTCGAGGTGATCTTCTACGAGACGCTGTCGCTGGAGGTGTGGATGGCGAGGTATGGGCCGGCGTCGGGGCGGACGCAGGCACACCCACCGACGGACACCTCGACGGCGACGGTTCCCCTGCTCGCCGAAGTTGACGAGCTTGCTGATGAAGACGTTGTGGAGGTTCTTCCACCTCCCCCTATTCTTGCTCCTCCCTCTCCCGTCGCCGATCTGCCTGCGTCGACACCTGTGTCGGCCACTGAGGATGAGGGGAGCCTTGAGGCGTCGCCTATGGCGCCGGCCAGTGGCATCGCCGGCGGACGACAAGGCGCCAAGCTCGTCGACTACGATGGGAAGCCGTCGACGACAGGGGAGCACCAGACAGGGGAGCCGGTCGAACAGGAGGCATCGGCAAGGGTACACTCGACAGGGGAGCGGCAGCCGGAGCGGTCGACAGGAGAGTTGTCGAAGGCAGCAGCAGAGGAACAGCCGGTCGAAGGGTCGAAGCAGCTGGTCGACGACGTTCTCATTGACGAAAAAGGGGAGATGTCGGCGGGTGAGGAGTCCATCGACAGTGATGTAATGGAAGTGCCGATCACGAAGCCCGAGCTGCGACGTACAGGTCGAGCTCGACGGCCGCCGGAGCGGTTGAGCTTCCATGCCTGCCTACCGCCAGCTGCCTTCACCACGGTGTACGACGAGGTCGACGACGACCTGCTGTACGTCGATGCCGAGGAGGATGAAGATCTGCTGGAGCTTGACCCTGATGTGCATGCCGACCCCGAACACCGCTGGGACATCGCCACGATGACGGTGAAGGAGGCGCTGTCGAGCTGGAAGGGCGAGGCGGTGAAGGCCGCCATGGAAGAAGAGATCCGCAGTCTCATCGGCATGG